CCACTAAGCCACGAATTAGGCTTGAATGGAATGTGAGTAGATGATGCGTCTGAAATTTGACTTTAATCAAACGATTGTTCGGCCGAGCAAGAAACCTCCTCACGACCTAGGTTCTTTCACTACCTCGGAGTCAAGGCTTTATGTGAGCAACCAAATGATGTGGAATGAGTGGAGATGAAGATTGAAGGTGAAATGTAATGAAATGAAGTTTACATGTTTAAAATAAAAGGTACTTGAATTTAAATATAATTGAAAGATAAGTGCGGAAAGTAAAATGCGTAAAATAAATAATTTAAAGACGAGTGCGTAAAGTAAAGTGCCTAAAATAAAGAATTTAAAGACGATTGTGGTAATGTAAATTGCATAAATTAAATAATTGAAATGCGAGTGCGTAAAGTAAAGGGCGGAAAGTAAACTAGATTATGAAGAACAGTAAAGATAACATGAATTGAAATTATTGTAATTGAAATAGAATTGAAAAACAAGAACAAGAACGTAAAGGCATAATTGAAATTGACGGAAACTAGAATGGAAAAAATAAGAACTAGGCTATGGCTACATTATGCTACTCCTATGATAGAAATTGAAGAGAATGTAAAATGACAAGTTGTGTGTTGTGTCAGAGGTCCTTTCTCTCTTCCATAAGCTTGGTATTTATAGGGGCTTCGGTGCGTCTCAATTTGGTCGGTTGTCAATTGGCCTTCAAATCAATCATAATTGCTCTAGAATATCTTCAATTCCTTGTCTCAAGCATGTGATTTAATGTGAATAATAATATTTGATTTGATCTTCCTTCCATCTTGAGCTCTCCCACAATAACTTCGGTTGACCATTAAGTTGGCATAATTCCTTCTATATTTGAATTGTAACCTATGAGGAAGTCCTCCTACAGGTTATCTATCTCCTTATTTAAATATTGGTTAATTTCACGTATTCGGTCGCTTTTAGCCATTTGGTCGTATCTACACTTTCGGCTACATATAGGCTCTCAACCACTTTTATGCTCTCGACCGTATTGATGTGTTCGGCCAGATTGATGTATGCAGCCACATGTAGATATTCGGCCACCTTTATGATTTTGGGCTTCTAACTGGCCTTATTGATTAAGCCACTAATTGGGCTCAATGTTAATTTAATTGTCAGATCTCGGGTCTGACCTGGTCAAATTTCAACCAGGCCCAAACAAGAGTACAACTGTAGGGTATAGGTGGGAGTGATTTTTGTCCCTAAAGAATATTCGTTTGAAGATCCTTTCTTCCTCTTCGCTTCTCTTTCTCCTTGCAAAACAACACGGAGTGAAAAGACCACACCCGAGGGGTGTTGGCCAAAGGTCCTCTGATGCCTAAATTAGGTTGACTCTGTGTAGGAAAAACAGTAGCTAACAAAGTGTACGAAGATTTCTCTAAGGGAGAACCGAGTGGCCGGAGCCGTGTGTGTGTGTGTGAGAGAGAGAGAGAGAGAGAGAGAGAGAGAGAGAGCGTGTGTGTGTGTGTGTGTGTGTGTGGTGGTTAGGGTTTGTGAGTGGGGATTTCTGAAGAGTTTCAGACATAGGTTTATAATTACCTCAAACCTTGTGCGTAGCCATGTATTTATAGGAGCATCGGAGGTTAGGGTTTTGGAAGAATAATTTCACACATGAAAATGAATTATTCTTCTCCAATTTGGAGAGATTGATTTGATTAGGGATTTGATTATCAAATCCCCAAGAATCAAATAATTCTCATATTGATTGGATTAATTATTTGACCTAGGATCCATGAATATTTGCTTCCACAGTACCAAACTGAAATTAGCCCTTATAAATACCTTCATATTGAAGAAGAATACATATCTGAAAATTTACATATATTTTGTTTGGCATGGTATCAAAGCCTAGCACTCTTGTGGTTTTCACATTTGTAATTTGCACTTGAACATTGGAGATGCTCTTAGGGGTTAAGCCTTTTAGATTTAAGATTTATTATATAGGATTTATGTTAGGGTAAAAACTTTGGGATTTGAAGAAGAAAAAAAAAGGCAGAAAGATTCTGATTCTGAGGGAGCTATTACATAGGTAAAAACAAGCACAATGTAAAGACAAAACAACTAAAGAGAAAGTTAAAAAAGCCCCACATGTATAACGCCTACTAAAAGCTGCAAAAACAGAGAACCCATTCCAAAAGTTATAAAACCCAAGAATATAGAGTTGCAAAGTGACCAAGAAATCCAGCACTTAGATTTTCTGTGTATTAGATAGAGATAGAAAGGTGATGGTGGTGGTCTGCTTTTATTGAAGCTCAAACATGCGCTTTGTAAACAGTGAACAAAAAGCTGACTGATTTAGAAACTTACATTACATTCCAATAAAGAAGAGAAAGCAAGCATGGCACTTTTGTGTCCAGGATTTACATCTTTTTAACAGCAACTTTAGAGAAATTCAGAGAGGGCAAAGATCAAAAGAAACTTTTTTCTTTCACCATGATAACCCTACAAAATTGGCTATGCATTTATGCTCTCTGATACTATGCCCTTGACTTTTTCTAGGCCATGTTTGTGGGTTTTTGGATTCTTTTCTCCTTTTTTCTTCTTCTTTCTTTTCTTCTCCTCTCTTTTCTTCTCTTTAGGGCATGGAATTCAACTCTCTTTATGTTCCACAATAAATGGGTCGGAAAAGTTTCTTTCAGATGACAGAAAGAAAAAGGGTTTCACATTTAATGCAAAAAGTGAAGGTGAGTTTTCTATAAATAAACGTGCGAACTCCCGGAATTGGCGCCGAGCTTCAGTTGATGTTTCATGGGAATATGATTTTTTTTTTTTTTTTTCTTTTGGGGATTTTATTAGATGTTATTTGTTGTTGGGGGAGCAGAAATTAAATTACAGGTGAGAATTCGGTGTAAATCTGAATATAGAATTTGGAAGAGCATGATGCAGTTATGCTCACATACATTGTATTGCTCTTGGACAAGTAATTCTCTTTAATTTCTCGGTCCTGCTTCCCTCTTATATTCTAAGGGTTTGGGGGCATGGTGGAATTAAAAAAACCCCATCTCTAAATTTTCTTTTGAGCCAAGACGAAAGGAGCTTCTATAATGAGGGGGATTTTGGTGAGGGGGTTCAATGTGGAGTTCTATCCCACCATTCATTCATTTAAAAAGTTTATTTCCAACACTTTCTCTCTCTTGTTGGATGGTGGGATGGATCCTACATTGAACCCCCTCATTATAGCATTTCCGCCTAGACGGGCAATTGAGTTTAGGGTCCCAAATTGTGAGGCCTGTGCAGACAAACCTAGTAACTGACGTCAGCAGCCAAGTGAATTGTGAGACGCATTTTAAGAGAGAGAGACTCAAGAAAAAAAAAAGAAAAAAAAGTCCAACACATTGGAGCAAAGAAGTTAATGGCTCTTACCCACCACCACAATTGGATCCAAAAGTTTGAATTTGATCCTAAAAGTTTGGGTTTCAGAATAGACATGGCCTTAGAACATCTTCTAGAAAAATGGCAAAAAGACTGAAGACTAAAGTATTCCACCTTCTACCTTCCTTTCTTGTTTGGTTGTACACTTGGGTTTTTTGTGTGTTTGGTAAAATGAATTTGAGTGCTTTGGTGCAAGTAAACACAAGCATAGTGGAGAAAGGTTGACAAGAGGAGTGTGAAATGAATAAAGGGAGAGGAGCTACGGCATTCAATGTGACCCATGAAATGCAAGCTGGGGCACATGGAGATATGACAGTGACCAAAGAAGTTTAATCACTAAACTACTAAACTTCTTTTTGTTTTTTGGCCGGCATTTTAGTCAGCAAGATAATACCATTAGTCTGACTGCATAACACTAGCAAGGATCAGTGTGAACATTTTTGCTCATTATTCTTAAATGATGGTGAACATTACCGTCATACTAATTGTCGTTGAATGAGTGTGATAAAATCTATATATTACACGAATCTCAAAAATTCAACTCATTCAATGACCATTAATATGGTGGTAATGCTCACCACTGATTAAGAGTGGCGAGTAAATATACTCTCCAAACCAGTTGGTTCTTGCACCAAAGATTGCCAATCCTCTTCCAATATTTTTTTTGAAAGAGGAAACTACTTTTAAGGCAACTGATTTCAACTAAAGCACCCAAATTTAAAAAGTCTCAGCCCATCCAATCCCCACGCCGACCCACAAGGCCCAGTCCAATTCCAACCCACAAGGCTCCACCAATGCTGCCTATCACAAGACTCGAACCTTGAACATGGTGCTAACTTTGATACCAATTGTTAGGAATGAGACAATGCTCAAAACTCAAAAGTTTGACCACTAGTAAGAAGTCAAGTGGTCAAAGGCATATTTTCCTGCACCCGAGGTTTTAGGTTTGATTCCCCATCCTCTAATATCGCTTGTATTCCAAAAAAAAAAAAAAAGGTTTGACCTGTCAATAAGGGAAAAACTTGATTTTGCTACCCTTCACAAATAACTCAAAACAATTGGAAGAAAAACAAAAGTTCAAAGAACTCAAATTTCAAGTACGTTTTCTTGTTCTAAATAATCTTCTCGATCAGTGGATAAGTATACATCCCTGCTTCTACTGGTAACTTAACATATAAAAATAGAAAAAAGAAAAAAGAAAATTGAGATTTGAATTTATTTATTTTTGTTTGTGGAAATTTATGATAGATAGCAGGAATGCAGATAGCATTAGAAAATTATTTTGTTAACTAAGGACATAAAACATTGTACAGATTTTACCTTTTGTATTAGTACTAAGTTACTCAAGATAACAGTTACTGCAGATAAGAGAATTTTTATCCAAGAAGAAAATTGCAAGAGACCCTTATAGTTATGCATACTTAACAAAGTAAACAAACCCGTTCGATCCTGTGAGTGCTCGAAATTAGTATCACATCCTCAAGTGTTTTGGCAAGCTACCAAATTTGAAAGGCAGTTCTGTACAACTAAATAATAGATTAAACATTGTACATGATAATAACAATTGTAGTAGCGTCACAAACAATAGAAACAACCCTATCGGCAGGAACTAAATATGACAGCTTAAGGATTCTGAGTAAAACTTACCGATGGCATTCTACAAGCCGGATGGAACAAACTAAATTAACTAATTTCCAGATCAAGGAAAGTACCTAAACACAGACAAACTTCAAGTATAATCCAAATTGAAAGAATAGAAGGGCAGACCGGAACAATTAAATTAACTAACTTCCAGAGCAAGGAAAGTACCTTAACACAAACAAACTTCAACAAGTAAAATCCAAATTGAAAGAAGAGAAGGGAAGGCGAAAGATTGATATTTGATACAGTCCATACTTCATTGCTGCACAAAATAGGTATTATACTTCAAAGAATCGAAGTTCATGAAGGGCTTAGTACAAGTGATGGTATTGTACAGGTAATGACACTAAGTGGCCTGCAATGCAGAAAGAATGATCCATGTCTTCTTGTTTTCTTTGTTCATGAGTCACTGCATCAATTTGGTTTGAGGACAACATGCTGCAAAATAAATGACATAAGAAATTACACGTCCTATTGAGAAATTATCTACATGAATCTCAGAATAACACCCACTAAAAGAAGACAGTAAACCATATATTTATTGAATGGTTAAAATATCATATAAGAATATTTTATCAACCATGGATCTCATTTATTAAAATGCAAATTGAATATCAAAATTCAAAGAGGTACCTTAATTTGTGTCCTATTGTAAGTGTAAGTGATGTGAACAGATCCATCACTAGCCTCGATAACAGCGGGATATGAGAACTCCATTCCCAAATTCTCCTCCAATGTCACAGCATCATGCCATGAGTCCCCATCATCATTGGAGAGTGCAACTTTAAGTACACCCCTTGAGACTGTATTATAAGCAAGTACAGTAGAGCCATCTCTTAGCTTTACCCCGTCAATACCTAATAAGAAAATTGGAGTAAACCAAGATTAAATATGCGAATGCAAAGACGAAAAAAGGCCTTTAATTAACATATACATGTTACATGCATTCATTTAACCTTGTTCATCCATAACTTCAAATAAACAGCAAACACCAAAAATTACAGAAAAAGACCTGATGCTGAAGCAAAACTAAGTTCAGAAACCATTTTGAACAAGATGGACTTGATTTTTGAAAATCCAGGTAAACATATTATCACACTTGGATGCATATACTGCCTTCGACAACAAGAGAACTGTAGTTCAGCCATAAACCTGAGTTTGGATTGGGGAGTTCTGTAGGGATTGCATGATTCCAGTTCTGGCCACCATCATAGGATTCTGAAATACAAACTCTGCCAATGTGATCAAAGGATCGCATTAAAAGACGCAAGGTCCCTTCTGCAGTCTGGTAAGGAACTGGCTGAATCACACTAAGAGTTTCATTTTCAATGTAAATAGGGCCATACTTTTTCCAGGACCTGACAGAATCTGTTGCGACCTGTTGAAATCATTTATGTTAGGCAGCCATCCGAAACATACCGAAAGGTTAACCACCCTACATAATTGAGTTTCTGTGACAACCTCCACCCAAGCCCCCCAAGAGTTCCAGCTTTCAACAGAGGATCCACAGAGCAAAAGTCCACTTTCCAGCAAGATAGGCTGCAGAATAGTAAAGCAGAACACATAGCATAAGCAGCCTTTTAATATCAACGGTGATGACATGTACCAAAAGTTATCATATGAGTTCAAGTACTACCTTATTCTTTATTGGTCCTAATATACCCGGAGGAAGTTGTTCTCTTTCTGTCCAAGTAACACCTTTATCATGTGATCGCTTCATGCAACCACTCCATCTGATATTCATCAAACTGAAAGTTAGAAGAACCTAACAAATGAAAGGAACATAATAAGCTTATAAAACATCATTAGTCCGATTGAGTTTGCATTTCACGGAAAAAATGTTAAGGAGCATAAGTATAAAACATAGAACAGATGATTACTTGTGAATACAAAAGTTTTAACTAACCATAGTAATAACAAAAAGTACTTATCCAAGAATATGCACCAAGCATACAAAGCCGAAACTAAATTCATTCTAATAGTTAAGTTTGACAGGGTATCATAAAGAGACCATATGAAACTGAGTTGCAGCTTACGTTAAAACATTCGAAAGGGGTTCATTAATATTGAACTAAAATCATAGGGAAACAAAACATCTATTAGATAAAAAAAGAAAAGATTTTATTAGTAATGAATGGATGAATTATACTGGGTCAGTTTTGTGAGAACAAAGAAGGTTAAAATTCTGCGGCTCAGTTTGGTGATAAGTCAGAACCTTTTATCTATATCAATAATGGCATTTTGAAACAGATGGGAAGCCTGAAATGCATGCATAAGGTCTGTACTAAATCTTTGCATTGTCAGACAGATTCCTTTGTGCTTCACTCCCCCGAGACACCCTCTCTCCCAACCAAATAAAAAAAGAATAGTGGACTTGATGATCTAAATTGAAGATTCCAAAAATTTGAAAAACTATGCCTTAGTTGAACAAGACCTGTTTCTATATGATTGCCACTCTGTACTCCTGAGTTCTAAGTTGACAGAAAACAAAACCTGGTGGATGGATGAATCATAACCCTGTGATCAGAGCATGTTAACAGCTTTGGTTCTTGGGCCATCAAAAAGTAGAGGACAGTTCTCAGTCAGTACTTAAAGTCAAATTTGACAAAACATAATAACAGCGAAAGGCACATTCTTTATGAGACTAATAACTTAACCTCTAGCTCTTTAACAGTATTTAGCATGAACCACCCATCAACAGCAGCAGCATTGCCTACAGAGCTAAATGCATTTCTTTTATGCCACCCACACTGTAAGATTAATGTTAATTACCCGTAACTTACTATATTACCCCTAATCCTTTTTCGAAAAATAAAAAAAGAAATCTTCTGGTCTAAGGTCTAGATTATAAAAGGGGGTACTGGCAGCAGCGTTTCACTAACTATAAATGCTACCAACCTAAGTGGATTAACGATTTGATCCTTGGTCTCTAGTGCTAAACCAAGAGACTTGACCAGTTAAGCTAGTTGGGAGCTACATGAACAATTTTCATCTAGTAATAAATATAATGCCACGACATGGACAGCGATTTCAAATCATGTAGAACAATCCCATTCATTTTCCTTTTCTGTTTGTTTGTGTGGTATAAGCCAAACAACATTCTCAGAAAGACATACAAAACAGTTAGGGACATACTCAGAAAGAGATATAAAGTCAAAACTGAAGATTTTAATAAAACTTGACTGCAAAAGCTTATAGATAGTTGTAGAATAAATTTACTTTTGAACCTCTTGTCCTATTTTATAGAACAGCAGCAGCTCATCTGATGGAAGTTTGAATAGCACAGGGTTCCACATTGGAACATCAGGTTGTTCATCAGCAATGACAGGTGACTGCCAATAGCCATTCTGCTCAGAAAAATTGTACTCTTAGTGTTAGGAATTCATATAAAAGTCTGATGAGGACTTTACCAAGAAATTTAAGAATGAATCTGTCAGTCAACTAGACTAAAATGGGATAATGATAACTTCCGTTCCAGTGCATTTTGTAATTTATATCAAAAGAAAAGATGACATTAACCAGACAACAGAAAAATAAGGGTACACCTTTGTTGTTCATAAAGTGAGCAACCCTTGTGGATTGTATGTATTGTCTACCTTGTATGTCTGCAACCAAATTTTCACATCTGGTGCTCCCTCCGATGTACCTCCAAAATAGGCAACCAAAAAGTGATCTTTATCAACCTATACGAACAACAAACAAGCACTGGTCTGGTTAACCTCTCCAGGGGAAAATAATGGCTACTAATCATAACGAACTACAAATCTTTCATTTTTATTTTCTAATTATTTTGTCCTGCACAACCTCAACAATGGTAGATGCATGGCAGCTATTGAAAGGAGCAGAATTTGCAGCAAATGTGTATTCCTCTAACACAGGCCCCTCAAGAATACTGTCCTTCCTCATACTTATACTTGGGGGCGCAGACAACGTGGTTTCGGCAAATATTCTATCTAACTTCCTGCATAATTTTTCAGAACTGTATTCTCGTGTTAATAAAAATTTCTGGAACAACATAATTGTAAAAGGTCTAGCTTAATCATCTTTATATTTGATGGACATATTTTATAGTTACCAATGAGTCTAACAGAAAGCAAAAGCTTGGTCATCTTTGTAAGAATCAATGTAATGGACAAGTAAAGCATCATCAAATAACATGACCAGAAAAAGAAAAAAAACACAACAAAGGAAACCAACATGAACTAAACAAAAGAAAGCCAAATAATCCCAAGAAATAATTTCAAATTTTCCAAAAAAAAAAAGAAAAGGAGAGAGTTTACAGGGTCGTAGAGCACCTGGTGGGAAAAACGTAAAAGGGGTGAAGCAGGTGGTGGTGGGCATTATATGTGAGACTGGAATTGAATGTGAAACTGCTTCCAAATCTAGATAGTGGGTCATTCAGATCACAGACATTGAAGATTGAAAAGATCAAAAACAGAAACAAAGGCAGCAACAGGACCAACACAATGCTTCCCACTGATTTCCACATTTTTCTCATCTAATCTTAATCTAATGCCTCATGAAGTAAACAAGTTCCTCAAACCAATTTGTATGTAGAGTACCTAACGCATTTTCCATGGCATGAAAATAAAATAAATAAATTTGAGTGTGATGGCTTTGACTTACTTTGAGAGCGAGAGAGAGGGAGAGAGAGAGTCATTTCACAGCTGTACTCTATACTTTGTACTAATTTTGCACTTTAGTCCTATCATTTCAATTTTTGTCTCGTAACTTGATTTAGTTTGCACTCAAGTCCAAATTAAACTAATAGATGAAATCCGACGTTGCAATATGCACAACCATCACATGAGATGATGAGATGACACTTTTGCCTTTCCATATATTTGCAGTCAACCCAAAACATAAGAAGCTCGTTAATTTTTTTCAACGATGTTAGACCTGCTAACTTACAAAGATTCGTGATCAAAATTTCCAAAATTGAGGCGACATGAATCAAAGTGGAAAATGAGCCAAACAAGTCAAAAATGTTATTTGACATAGATATGGGCACTTAGTTGGAAATAGGGTAACACTATTTTGCTATCCCTAGCCAATAATGTCATGCCACGTGGAGGTGTTGTCACTTGTGTCATAGCGTTATTGGTCAGAGATAACAAATAGTGTTATCCCGTTTCATGAAAGTCTTTTTCCCACTCTACACCTGAGTTTGAATCATCATCCCCGTAGTTTAGATTAAATTAAAGTAGAATATAGTTTGTATAAAAACAAATGTTGTTTGTCTTTTTAGTTTTCCAGTCTATATAATTTATACAAACACTCCTAGTAAATAACTTACATGTAACATGTTCGATATCATTGTGTAGTTCGTATGTGATAAGAAAGATATAAAGAAAAAGAGATATACAACATGTTACATGAGAGTTGCTCTCTCTTAGAGATAATAGAGTTACAAATTAACTTAGGGTTTGTTTGGGAGTGATTATATGAGGGTCAAAATTACTTATCCTTCTCCATAAAATCACTTTAAACCACCTAAAGTGATTATATAGAGAAGTGATTCTCCTCGCTTATCCAAAATCATTATGTTAGAATCCTTGACTAATGGGCCTATTGATAGCAATTCATAGACACGTGTAACGTTCTCTTTAGATTTCCTTTCAGTATCTTTAGGTAATATCATTGTTGAGCTCACACTCTGAGTGTATTTAGTTTGAGGCCTTTGGCCATTTTGGACTTATGAATGAAGAATCGTTTATTTTAGTTTATCTATGTTTGTACCATATCTGACTGGCTTGTCATGTCATGACACTTGGAAAGGGTTTGACAACAAGTAGGGCCCCGTGTGGCCCATGCCGGCAAGCCCAGCTCAAGAATCGGTAGGAGCCCTCGGCACCCACGACCGATTCCACCCCCAACATGGCCCTTGTTGAGACCCAAAAAATCCAGGGGGTCGGGCCCGAGTTTATTCCTAGCCCAAGACAAAGATTTGATTGTGAGAGGAGCCCAATTAGGACATAAGGAAACGTGCCAGACGCATTTGCGCGAGCCGTGAGCCATGTGTCACGCCAAGCAAGCATGCGCAAAAGGGCAAAAAATGCACCGGCTTTATAAGTTCACACTCACCAACCTATCTAATGCTACTTGGCTCGATCATAGCTTATGGTGGCACAATAAAACTCAAGCGCAAGCAGGATAAATAAACACACGTTGCTATGCAAAGGACTGCTATTCTAATACCAAGCCGTGCTACAAGCTTAGGTGGGCCCAAGCCACGTAATTACCTGGGGCTTGCTGAGAAGGTTGTGGTATGGACGGGAACAAGCAATCACAAGGCCCATTGAGGGTTCGAAGAACGGAAGTTTTAAGCCACTTGGGAGCATTAAAACTCAAGCCCGTTCCTCAGGCCCAAACACATGGGTTGGCATGAGAGAGGGAGAAAATTAATGCCTTAGGAGAATATCTAGTCTGCTGCAACACTTAGACAAACCCACATCAGTAAAATGCCCAAAATAAAACAAATGGGCTATTTCCAGCAGCTTGATGAAAACCCATCGGATGCTGGAAGTAGCATGCCAATAACCCAATACTGTACGCAAAGCCCAGCCTAGCGCTTTGTAAAAATCTAGCATCGTGTTCCACCCTCGTCAGAACTCCAAGACGATCAACAAGGAGCCATAGCAGGGACCAAAGGAAATCGATATAGGTGACAAGAATACCCCTTGGACAAATGAATCTACCCATTCTCTTTTCCTCTGTAAGCTCCATTTTGAAAACCAAGAAGGAAAGCAGGTGGCGCCTCACCCCCATGGGGAGGTCCAGCTGCTCAAAAAAACCTTGGAACCCCAAAGAGCCTGTTACCCATACACTCTGGTTGGAGAAATTTCACCAAATAGGAGAAAATGGAAAAAAGCAAAGGAAAAGTGGAATGGAGGATCGATGAAATTAGGGTTCTAAATGCCTATAAAAGAGAGCTTCCTCTATCCAGAAAAACACACCATTCCGGAGCACGACCAAGCTTTGTCAAGCAAACTGGAATTTACTTCAGACACCAATCTTTTATTTCCATCGTTTGTTCTTTCTCTTTCTGAGATAGAAACCCTCCTAATTTTCCTTTTCCCACTTTGAACCTTTTCCTTCTTAAAGAAATTCATGCTTTTATCTCTCTCTCAAATTGCTAAACTTGTGAAGGCTTAGCTCCCATGCCACAAGCTACTCAAGCCAAGTCACTAATCAATTTGTTACGTTCCTCTGATTGTTGGTGAAAAGAACCCAAAAGTATTTTTTTTAAGGTTTCAGCAAGTCTTTCAAAACTCTTTTGGGAGTCTGGTTCTTGAACTCAGGCATTGGGGAATTTTGTTTTGTCTTCCTTTTACGGCAGCCCAAGCCCATTCGTCAGGCTGTTGGAACAAAAAGACCCCTACAGCCCTATAGCCTATGCTGACAGGTCCAGTCTCACAATCGGTAGGCACCCCTAGCACCAAATGCCAATTGCTGACTGACCGGCCCACAATGGAGTTGTCATTGCGTTCGACACTCCTTGCTGTTTCAGCCTCCCAAAAGGTATCTCGTAGGAATTTCTCGAGTTCCCCATGGGACACGTGGCAGCCTCTGAGGGCACTCCCACGAATCCCACATTGACATCTCACATTAAGAGGACACCCAAAACTCCCTATAAAAGAAACCTTTGCCCCAAGGTTTAGAGTAAGTGAGCTCTACTTGACATACATGCCTTTGCATCAACAATAAGCTAACTCTTCTCTCCTTAAGCTAACTTTAGCATCAGAGGACCTTCGGCAGGTACCACACCGGTGCCTTAGGTCTCACCTATTGCTTTCTTCTCTCTTTAGCATAGATCTAGGTTCGCCTGCTTAAGGGAAAGCACTTACTGAAGGTAGATCCGATCCCTCGATCATCCATATCTTCTGTAAGTTGGTCTTGTTCGGTTCATTTTTACACATGATTTATCATGTTATTGACTCATTATTTTGAGTTAATTCTTGACATTTTATAACTTTTTACTTCATTTATGTGTTTTCTTATATTTTACCTTGGTTATAATGAAAATGAGCTAAAAGTGCATTATTGGTTATAAATTTTGTTTTTGTTCATTTTCGTAGGTCAACTTCTTGGCCTTGGATCAGCATGCTCTGGTACTCGGATGAGGTGAAGATCTTCATGAAACTTGTTCCAATGGATGTTGAATACAACATATTCAAAATTGGGTTCCATTGGACAAGTATAGCCTATCCAGCTGATCCAGCATGTTACCACAGCTATGAAATTCTGTTTTGGGCCAGCTTTCACCCCCATTTGATAGCATCTTATTTCTACTTGTTACCATACCATTTGGTAACAATGAATTACATTTGAAGTGGGATTTCCTGAGTCAAATGGAGCCTTGGAATATACTTTTAAAACAAAACTTCATCATTTGCAAGGAGACAAGGAGACAATGGGTGAAGATTTTGGCAATAGAATATTAAAAGTAAAAGCTGAAAAGGAGGAAAGGGAGGGGAGCAAAGGGAATGTGCATCAGCCTTTGAACGTGGAATTCATTGAGGGGGAGCTATTGAGCAAGTTTTGGAGCTGAAGAGCTACGAAAGGAAGGAGAGAAGGTGAAGCCAAGGAAGAAGGAAAAAGAAGACTTCCACCATTGAAGACCTTGAGCTTCTATCACTTACAAAATCTGTAAACTCTTTATAGTTTTATTTTGAATTTGTGTTTGAAATAAGTATGAGGAACTAAACTCCATAGCTAGGGCTTAGGTTGAAGCCCTAAACATGAAAACCTTATTGTTTTGATGCTTGAGTGTATGAATTTCTAGATATTGTTGATGAATTCCAATTCACCAAATTAATCTATCCTTGATGTGTGTTTTTCCTTGGTTGGCCATATTTGAAAGCATGCTTCTTGAGATTGTTGGGATTATGTGTATCTTCATGTTGTCCTAAGCAATAAATGGATGAAGTAAGAATCATCC